AACAGTGTTTTTCAAAGAGTAAATATTTGGTGGGAATTTGAGAAAGTTCTAACAAACTCACTTTCCAGTGGCAAAAATATCAGAAGGAATTTGATGGCGCCTTCTCTCACTGACAAAATTTACCAAAAGGCATAATATATATACATATATACATATACATATATGTATGTATGTTATATTTGTGCTGAAAAAGTCTCCCTTTATTTATTTATCAGCACAAATATAACATACATACATATATGTATATGTATATATGTATATATATTATGCCTTTTGGTAAATTTTGTCAGTGAGAGAAGGCGCCATCAAATTCCTTCTGATATTTTTGCCACTGGAAAGTGAGTTTGTTAGAACTTTCTCAAATTCCCAACAAATATTTACTCTTTGAAAAACACTGTTCACAGCCAAGGCAATTACTGAGTGGGAAGACCAATAAGAGGTGACACGTCTGCACACGTTTGCACTGCCTGGCACAACTGAAAGGGAGAGGGAGCATAGGAGTCTTACTAAAGTTTTATTGCCTCCGGTCACTTCTCGCCCTGGGTCTGCTGTCATCCAGAAGTGAAGAAAGGATCTGGTTCGAATGGTGTCGCTTGTTTTTCGTGTTTGCTCGGAGCGGGGCGCCCAGGATCACGTCTTGTCCTGAGCCTGGTTCAACGGAAGACAAAGAATCTGAAAACAAAGGAAACCGGGACGGGGGTGTTGTTTAAAAAACAGGGAGGGGACAGTGGGAAATGCCCTGGCCATGGAGGAACCCCTCACCTCCCTGGAAAGAGAGAAAGTCTGAAAGCTTTGGCTGCCAGAGAGACAGACAGATCAATGGCAGTCAATTATAAATACTGCAATCAACTGCTATCCAAATAATTAAGGACTGGTTTCGTGTAGCAGTCAAAGTGCTGCACTAGAAATTGGGAGACGGTGAGTTCTAGTCAGTGATTTTGGGGCAGACGTTCTCTCTCAACCCACCTTGCGCCACTGGGGGTGTCTTTGTTGTGGGGAAAATAGGCAGAACAGAAACCTAAAGAATTCATAAATGAATGGCGTTCTGGACCTGTGGCTGCTCTTGCTGTATTGCCGTACTTAGCCAAACTGTAAGGGGCCCACTCCAAAAAGGCCCTTTTGCCCTTCCAAAAATGGGATCTCATCACCCAAAAGGGAAACGTGCCCTGGTTTTGATTTAAAATTTGTGCCTGCTCATTTCAATAACCAGGTACAAATGTAGAAATGCATTTTGAAATTTAGACGAAAATGCGACGCATCCTCTCATAAAAAGAGAAACTGAGTTGCTGAACTGCATATATCAGGGGTGTCAAACGCACAGCCTGCGGGCCGGATGCGTCGTGTGCTGGGCCCGCCCACACGGAGGGGGCAAAGGGGGGGGGAGTCCCGATACATCACATGACGCCGACGTGATGACGTGAGTTTGACACCCCTGGCATATATGATCCAATGTTCAAGGGTTGGCAGCTTTAAATAGACAACAATAAACTGTCCCTTCTTCAAGTCTTTAAATTGGACTTCTGGCCAACTACCTTTCACACTGGCCCTCCGGGATAAGGCAAGCAGGTCCCTTGAAGTAAAGCCAGGTTTTCCGGCACTCACCATGAATCCCTATCATGTGTTCTAAAATTAGCACCCTCTCTGCTAAAATCTTCAAGGCCTCTCGCAGTTGTTGGACCCCTTCACCCTACAGAGGAGAGAAAAAGTGGGGGAGGGACAAGGCATTTGTGCATGGGGTTGTAGGAAGTTAGCACCCATTCCTCTCCTGGAAAAATGAAATATTTTAGGAAATATTAAAAGGGCAGAATATGTCACCCAAAGGGAGGCAGAAACTCATCCCCCACCACCTTTGTCAATGGGCCATTAAGACCTGAGCCAGTCTATTCTACATAACAAAGATAGACCTCCTTCAGGCAGAGCCATAATAGGAAT